CAAAACATAACAAAGCAACCATAACAGCAACAACAACAACAACAACAACTTTAGGTGGATAGATAAATAGATGGAAGAGGAAACAGACGAATGGATTGATAGAACAACAATAACATCAACAACAATAACACCAACACCAACAATAACAACAACTTTAGGTTGATAGATAAATAAATGGTTAAGGAAACTAATGAAAGGGACAAATGGATTAATAACAACAAAAATAGCAACAACACAACACAGGCTAATCCAGAAATTTGACATTTAAGATAAAAAATTAAAAAAAAAACTAAAAAGCGTGCATATTGTGTTATTTAGTCTTCAGAACTTAATGAGGTTGACAGCGACAAGGACTATGCTTCTGAAGACAGTGCTGACAATGATGATGGCTTTAGTGAGGTAAAGAACTTAAAACATTCATAATAATACGCGATATCTTTATAAAACTAAAAGCCTTTCTTGTAGATTTTGACCAAAAGACTTGGCGAGTCGGCAGGCGAGAAGAGAACTTCCGTTGCTCAAGAAATCCTACAAACTGAGACGGAATACATGGAGATGTTGAACATCGTACAGAAGGAATTCAAGTCACCTCTTAACGCTGCACTCAARTCCAATAGGTATGCCCTTATATCGGGGATCAAGCTTTGCCTACGGGTTGGTTACAACTGAATTCATACCAACCAGGCACTATTCAAACTCATTGAATATTCATGAGCCATATTGATGACGTCATATAAGGCAATGTTAATATATGCATAATGTAGTTGGCGGGATGGTGTTTCAGGTCGAGTCGTCCCCTTCCTCCCAACCCTACCTGCCAATTCATTGGTTTTATTCCTGCGAGCCTACTCGTCAGGGGTGACTCCATAGTTAATGCTAATGAGGATAAGGTACTAATCAGTTTCTAGAAATTAAGTCCACGTGTATTTCTCTTTCAGAGCKATTATTAGTTTACCGAACATTAAAGCACTGTTTGACGACATGGAGACTTTGTTTGATATCAGTAGGTAAGATGGTATACAGTTATAAGGTTGTCCGAAGAAAAATGCGAATGCACGACCTAAAGTTGCCATGGGTATTTATTATTGATGGTAATATTAACCCATCAAAGGCAGTCAATAATGTTTACTTCCATTGAACTAAAACATCTCCGATGATGCCTTGGTTGGTTTGTCCGTGTTTCTTAAAGGCCTACGTGCATCCAGAACCTTTGAGAACCTTTCTTTTGTTTTAAAAATGATATCTTGCTTAAAGATGCTGTCGGATTGGTTTAAAATCGATCAAAGACGGCGAATTTTCGTCTGTTGAAAATCGCGCAAAGGTTCTTGGGTGCATATGGGTCTTTAAGTGAATATTAGCCATCAAAAATTGAATGCCCACAGAGAATTTTGACGTGCAATCCAATTTCCTTCTCCATTTCTTAGGATATATTGTTTCTGTGGCACTAAAACTATTTGTAAAATCATTGATTTATAGCGTAATGCTTAATGAATTATCAAAACGTCTTCAGAAAAACAAGTGGAATTCACACCAGGTATGCTGTAATTATATTTTTTATTCTTTATTTGTAAGTTATTTYCTCCCTATCTATCCTCTTCATTATGGTTATAGGACATGAAGTTTTYCCTTCTCACGCGACGACCATCTTGGATTCTGAGAACGCRCTCAGCCTCGACTTGAATCCAAAATGGCCGTCGCGTGAGAAGGAAGGGTTAGTTGGCTATGACTCTAATGAAACTTATATCAATACAGTCCCTATCTTGACTCTCATATTAATTTTCTTTCWAGAAGAAACTATTTTCTTCATAAATATAATGTGTCTAAAATTTCAGTGCCTTGGCGATATTTTCATGAAGTTCACGACGACATCACGAGCATATACGAACTTTTTGAATAACTAYCCRATAACACTGACGACATTACAACGAGTGAGTATCAATTGCTGGTATTTTAAATTAGTTRAATTTTCTCAATCAATATCCACACGTTATTTTTTAGTGTAAAGAGCAAAACCCGCAGTTCCGATCATTTCTAAGCAGGCACGAGAAACAGCCGAATACAAAAATGATGAGGTATGTCAGAGTTTATAGCCTTGTTTCATTATGACGTCATAGCATATTTACAAAGGGGTTTTAAGAAAAACAATCCAAATATGGAAATTTAGGCTAAATTTTGTATTACTATACCATTTTCTCATAATTTTGTCTAYAGTTTTGCAGAATTTCTACTTCTACCAGGTCAAAGGGTCAAAAGGTTCGTCTTTCTCCTCTAAACTGTATATTTTATTTCTCCATAAATATGTAGTTTACCAAGACTTTTATCAATTATATAAAACAGATAATTTTTCTCTCTAAAGCTACGTGGATCTGCTGCAAAGATTTCTACGTCATACACCGAAAGATCACGTGGACAGGAAGCTATTGTTCGAAGCTATTAACAAAATACAAGATCTAGCTGACATTTTTAAGCAGGTATCGAGAGCTTGTTTTTTTGAGCTGCTTTAAAGAACCTTTACAACAAAAATATTGAGTGAAAATAAAYGTTTTTTATACTTTTTCAGTATGAGGAACGTCTTACTAGAGAAAAATTCCTCCAGCGTCTACAAACTACTATCGGCAACTGTCCGGTAAGCTGCATAGAAAWATTTATGTGCAAATAAATCATTCAAAAACTTTTAAGATGTATAAAATTCATCCTCCATAATGTTGTATCGCATCCGCCATTTTGAATAGCTCATCAATACCATAATGCACCTCTTCAAATCAACATGACGKCAGACGGTCAAAAGACCATTGGTTTAATTGTATGTTATTACAGGAATTATAGCTACATTTCGTGTCTTTAATACAGGTTTTGTCAGAGAAAGGGCGCCATTTTATTTGCTCTGAAGATTTTGCATTGCTCTCCTCMCCAACTACTGGTAAACAGGTCAAACCTGAATACAGGTATTGTAATCGCTTTAGCAGCGAGAGTAGTACGTAGAATTACATCATGAAGTATGTTATTCTTGGGATGGAACTATAATCAAGAATCCCTTGCCACATCCACAGGCATTACC